GCAAAAAAGAAAAGGTGGGAGGGAGGTCAGGACTTGAGCACACATACCCAAAATATATATATGTAAATATATATATAGTACTATATTATTCTAGTATTATATTATAAAGGGGTAACGAAATAAAAAATGAAGAGGATTACAGAACAACAGTTTTTAAAAATAATTCTTTATGTGGTTTTCTTTCCTAATGATACAATAAAATCATTTATTTATAATAGCTTTATTGAGCTATAACTCACATGGCAAACAAGTCACCCATTTAAAGCAGTTTTTGGTATAATTCAGTTTAGTGCAAGTCACAGTTCTGCAACCACCACATCTATTTCCAGAACATCTCATCACCCCCGAAAGAAGCCCTGTGCCTATTAGCAGTCACTCCCCACTTCACCCTACTCCGACCCCGTGGTAACCACGAATCAACCTCCCATCTCTATGGATTTGCCTATTGAACGTTACATACAAACAGAACCATACAATGTGTGGCTTTGGTGCCTGGCTTCTTTTGCTTAGCATAATGTTGCTTTCACATTGTAAAGGCCCATCGTCCAGTCCTACACGCCTAATTTTTAAATGTCTTGAAAATCACAGTGGCTTTATATTCCTAATGATAAATATGTCAAAACACATGGCTAAGTTTACCATTAGCAATAATAAATAAAACTAATATTTCAAGTGATTTTCATTATAATTTATAATTTCTGAAAGACTCCCCATGCTGAGGCATCAGCCCTACCCTTTGCTTATGGGTTGCTTATGTCCAATCTGAAACTTGTGCGCGTTGGTTCAGTTAATCTAGAGGCCATGGAATGTAGACCCACTTAACAAGACATCAGGAAAATTTACATCATGACAGGTAAAATGTGACTGACTGAGTAACGGAACTTATGGGTTCCTTTTTACATATAAAATAGCGCATTAAAACACATAAAGGAGAAAATAAACACAAACAAGTATGTACATGTTCTCCCTGTATCTCATGGATGGTTTTGCACACCCCTGAAGTGTGCACTCACTGCTGTAGAAAGCACCCCTCTAAAAACAAACTAGGGCACAGGACCCCCGCCCTCTCTCCAGGCTCTCCAGTCAGCCACCCAAGTTCAAATGCTGAGCCTTTCACTTACAAGGGGCAACGAACGTACCTTGGGCCTGATGTCTATCTCTGTGACTAAATTTCCTTATCTAAAACCATGAATAAGAATAACCTCATAGGTTTGCTGTGATGACAGAATGAGTGATTATACATATGCTCCTTAGAACAGCACCTGACAAACAGTAAATGTTTAAAAAATGGGAGCTATTACTGCTGTCATTATTATTTTCATAGAATTTTTTTTTTTGGACACAGGCCGCTTACATCTTGTAAACAGAATGCATATATGGTTGAGCCACCTTCTTACCAGGGTTTCTTAATCTTCACTGATAAGCAACTGAATTAAAAAAGAAGCCACATGGCTCCCTCCTCCTTTGCCCACACATTCCTATTGGCTGTCACTGTTTGTCAGACATCAGTGGCTCCTTTAAAGAAAGCTCCCAAACGGAACAATACTTTGAAAGTACAGTGGTACCTCAGTACTGGGAACTTGAGACAAGTGCCAAACTAACAAGTACTAAACAATGAAATACTTTCTCTTGCAGAGTGGCATAGCGACTCATACAAATTCTACCAAGTACAACAAGTTCCAAGCGAGCTCCAAGTGCTGAAACATTTTTTTTTCTTGTCAAAATGTGACAACTACAAAGTTCGATAAGTTCTGAAGCCAATGAATACCAAGGGATGACTGTAAAAATGTTTCTTAAGTATATGTTACTATATAATTTAGATTAAATGATTATAATATCTGGAAAATTAATCTTAAGTGGATAAGGCCAGAGTTACAGAATATAGCAAACACATTTATGGAAAATTGCCAGAGGTCACCCAGCATTATTATATGTCAATTACTTCCCAAGGTGATATACTCTTTGAACAGAGGAATTTTGCCCCGTTTATTCTGAATTTATTCTGAATATCTCTACAGTGGGACCTCAGTTCTCCAACTTAATTTGTCCTGGAAGGCTGTTGAGAGTGATTTGTTTGAAAACCAAATCTCCTTCATTTGTCACCTGAGAGACCTGTGACTAACCACACAGATATCAGCATGACAGTGCTGTCAAGTTGACAACCGAAGTTTTTTCTTCAACAACTGAGACATTTTTCCTATGAACAACTTGGTCAAAACCCAAATCATTCCACAAAGGAGATGTTCAAGAACTGAGGTGTATCCTTTCAGCACTTAACATAACATTAGACAGTATAAGCACTAAACAAGCATTTATTGAGCAAACTTGTTATTACATCTATTTGAACTCCTTCCAGGCCAACCTTTTTGCCATTCTCTCTATGGTACAGAACTTTGAAGCTCCAATGTCTTCAATCAGCCTTATGCTGGAAAAAGTCCCAAACTATTTCTGAAGTAAGACTTGAGCCATGCCTGTTGCTCTTCCTCAGCCCAATTCTATTCAGAAGAAGGGCACTATTTATCACAGTTTGCATATACTTATTTGCATGACTATTTGATCAATATATATTTCATTCAACTAACTCCACTGTAACAGGGACAATGCTGCCTTTTCTTTCCATGGCATCTCTAAAACTGAGCATAGAGCCTGGCACATGGTAGATGCTCAATAGACATTTGCTGAATGAAACATTTCCTGTTCAGGCATGTATTTTTGTTAAAGGTTTTCATCTTTATGACCATGTAAAGCCTTCCTCCAGAAGGTTGTAAAGCTTTGTGACCATGTAAAGCTTCCCTCCAGAGTAAACCAACTAAGTTTGTCCTTGACCAGCAGCAGTATAATCTGATGCTTATAATACTTTTAGAAGAGAAATACAGTATTAATTCACCCATTCCTTCAGTAAATATTTGAACTCCTTCTACTATGTATCACACACCATTCGAGATTCTTGTCTCTGTCCTCACAGTGCTTGCATTTCATGGGAGGAGAGGGGGAAAGGAAGGATAGGGTAAACATAAATAAGTAACTATAGAAAAAAAACTAAGAAATTATGGGGATCAGAGAATGCTGGGATGCAGCACATGAATGAGGTTTGCTATTACATAGAGAGTAGACAGACAAGAATATGTCTAAGGTGTCTGTTAAGGTGACATTTGAGCAGGCCAAGAGTATATTAAAGAAAGGGACAGCAAGTGTCAACACCCCGCCGAGCAGCACAGGCAATGTACTCAATCTCTACCAGGATTTATTAACTGGGGAGTGATATTACCCTCAAAAGAAATCTGGAAGTAAAAAGAGGCAGATATTCTGAGTTTTCACAATGGAGTGGGAAAGGAGTGAGGGATGGAGAAAAGTTAAAAAACAAAGAATTAAAATAATTGCTTTGCCCAAAATACCTACTAAATTTTTTCTGGGGCTGGCAATCACATTTCTGTTATTGTTTTCAAATTGCCCTCATTATATTACCAAAAGTCAACCAACAAAATATTGCATAAGTAACTTATGATATAGTCATGCAACAGAATTATACCTGATGTAAATTTAGTTTACCCTAATACCACTGTATTGTTTCAGTCCCACCATTTTCTACATCTGGTTCATCAGGTTTTATAGGTGATACACTCTAGGTCTCAGATCAATTCAGGTGACAGTCCATTACTAACTCCTGTGCTTCACACTGCTATAAACACCTTGGAAGAGAATTGGCATACGTCAACCATCAGATCTATTAGAAAATCATTCTCTCGTTCCGGTATGGGAACATTTCTCATGTCCCACTTACTCTGACTGACAATCACCTTAGGTTTCAAGACCAGCTCAAAAGATACCTCCTCTATGAAGCTTTTCCCAGTTGCTCGCTTCTAAGTACTATCATAAGCAATATACTCCTCTCTCCATAAGACATATCATAAGGCCTTTCCCTGCTTTGCCTCCAAACTAAACCATAAGCTCTTCTAGGGCAACAATGAGACCTTATCCATCCGTATTTGTATTTCGGCACCTAGTATAGTGCCAGGCGCCTAGCAGGAGTTCAACAGTTATAAAATGAATGGAGAAAGAGTGAAATGCAAACAAACAAAAAAAAAAAGTCGAATTTTAAAATGTATTTAGGTTTTTACTTAAGACTCTAGAAAACGCCTGCATGACTTGGTTTGAAGCAAGGAATAGTGCCATATAGCTGGTAGATGGAGAAACCTCCACTTGGGGACTTTTTCTAAGTACATATATGCTGAGAAATGCCAATAGATGCTTTTCGATGCAATCCTGATCAGAGGCAGGGAAAAGGACAAGACTTCCTGTGATCTCTTCCAACCCTAAGACCCCAGAACTCCCTTAATCGGGGAGGCGTCATCTTTTTTTTTTTTAATTTTATTTAGTTACTTTTCAAGTACATTTTTTTCCCCCCCCCCCCCCCCCCCCCAGTCCTCATCTCTGTGTCTTTCATACTTGTTCCTCAAAATCCCTCCCCCTTTTCTTGGGAACCCAGGTATCCTAGATGGGATCTCACCTTCCCGTTTGTGGGAGGCTCCTGAATGTAGATGTTGCTCATTCTGGTCAGTGCTCAGGACACTGCTCCTTATTGGGGATGAGAGCAGATGGCCGATCACTACGGTTATCTCCCTATCACCCGTCTTCTAGTCGGGTGGTCGCGAAATGCTCCAGTTTGTCAATATACCGAAAGAAAACAATACCAACCACTATCTTTTCCCAAAACTAGCCCTCGCGGACGCCGCCATGTTGCTCCTGGACCCGAACACCGCTAACCCTGAGAAGGGGGATTCCAGTGACCTCCAGGGAAGGAGAAAAGCTATTAAGATACTATATAGATAACTTTAATTTATATGAAAGCTTTAGTAAGAATCATTCCTAAGTTTTGGTGTTGTTTACTTCCCTACATGCGTACGCAGTTCTCATTCATGCCCCGAAAGTGGTAGTAATGGTTCGGACCACTGTGTTCTGCAATATGACTCCCCCGGAAACTGCGTCAGCAGCCACTGGTTCCGGAATGGCTGGAGTTTTAAAGGGTTTTCTGGATTATCCCTGAGCAGCCACGGCGCGGTTGAGACGGAAGAGTACCCTTGCTGCGCGTTGTCCTCGCAGCCGGCGGAAAGTGAGCGTGCACTCGAAAATCTAGGGCTCCTGTGATCCTTTTTATCAGCGCCATGGCAGTCCCAGGTGAAGACCAAACAGCAGGGTCGCTGGGTTGGAACGAGGAAGGAAGGGGGTGGGGTAGGCTGGGGTGCACTTGGGTAGATAGTAGCGCCGACGGGCATTTAGACAGAGGCGTTAAAATTAACGCCAAAATGACCTTACACTTACAAAATGACCTAACGCTTACACTCCAAAAATGAACTCTGATGTAAAGAAGGGAACTATCTCCCCCGCCCCAGCCAAACTCCAACTACACTGGATGGATCACAGGGAAAGTGTAGGATCGGGAGGCAGTAACTAGGCCTCGGTGGCCGAGAAAAACTGACTTTACGTTGATACAGCTTGAAAATAAAATTTGAGGTGGGAACACTGGTCGTACCCAACTAGCCAGAGGCATTGTCTGTAGTTGAAGTGGCAGAGACGGAATGGGTATCTGGGGTTCTGCTTCTCTCTTCCCGTTTTATGTAGTTGCGTTGTGACCATGCACCCGTCGCTTTGCCCAATGTTCAGTTTCTGCGTCTGTAAAAGATTTACCAATTTAGGACTGTAACTAACAGCCCTCAGATTCTACACCCAGTGGGTACCGAACGAAAAACGATGAACCCTGTGCTATAAGTGCTTCAGAGATACCCCGTCCACAACTACCGACTTCGTGGGAAGTTATAGTAGGGGAGGGCATCTCCTTAAACCAATTTTGCCTCGGTGTTTTTTGTTTGTTTGGTTTTTGTTTTTAACAGAACACTCCTTGCGGGAGCTATTTTGAGAAATGTACCCCCTACATACACACGCATACACGGAACTTGGAGATTGACAGTGCACTTTAGCATAGAAAGGACTGAGAAGCGCTGTGGTTCTGAAGTTCTATGTTTTAACCTACCCTTCCCAGTACAATTTGACCAAGATTTTTCTGTGGCAGCTTTTAGTGAACCTTGTTACAGATGACTGTTGTGGAAGGTTGTGCTTTTCTACCAATTGTAGTTTGGAGAGGAGCATGGGGGGATCGTGAGAGAGGAAAGATACACTCATTCATACACATAATGTTTTTAAGTACCTACTGTGTGCTAGATGCCTTGCCAAGCATGGGCAATACAGTGGTGTGCAAGACGGTTGTTCTTCAAACAGAATTTACTAAATAGCAGTGAAGAGTGAAAAAGAACAAGAAACTCAGACCAGTGTATGGCAGGGAAAATACAAAACCTACAAAAGGAGCACATAGTAAAGGCACCTAACAGGAGACAGGAGGGGACAGAAGGACTTTGCAGAGGATGTGGAACTTAGAATGAGACCTGAAAGTCACAGGAGGGATGGAGAGGTGGGAGATGGGGCTGCAGCCAGAGGAACAGAGTTTGTAAAATGCAAGTGGAAATGTACGAGAGGAGGAAATGAAAGACTTCAGTATGGATGGAACTCGGCATGTAGATGGGAGAGAAGTGATAAATTAACTAGAGTGATAACAGCAGCTGACACTTGGGAAGCATTTACTGTGTGTCAGATGTGTCAGATACTGGGAGCTAGGTAGTATTTCCACTTTATGTGGGGATACTGAGAGACAAGAAATCAAGTAACTTGACTATTATGGGACAGCTAGTGACAGGTCAGTCTGGCTCCTCTATACCCTGTGTGCTTTATACATTTTCCTATGTTACAGTATAATTTACAAGGTAGTTTCCAGCTCTTCAAGGACTTTGTAAGCCATGATAAAATTGGAATATTTTTCTTAAGAACAGTAGGAAGCCACCTGAGGGTTTTAAAACAGATTCACATTTTGGAAAAATCATTCTGGCCGCATAGCTTGGAAGTTAACTGGTTTGGAGGCAAAGGCACCATTTAAAAGTAATTCTCGTATGTTATGTCTGATAATGCCTCGGGTATGGTCTCAGCAGGAAGGGAAACAGACAGATTGGAGGTATATTTTTGGTTGTAGAGCTACTAGGAATCGGTGACTGAGTCAACCTAGGGGATGAGAAAAGAAATGTCTGGGTGCAGCTAGTTATTGAAGCAGGCAAGCCCTGACTGAGAAGGACAGGTTTGAGGAGCAGGTTTGGTCGGGGGGGGCCTTTGCTGAGGTGCTGTCAGACATAGGAATGGCAATATCTAATAGACAGTAAGAGACACAGTTTGTAGTTAGGAGAGAAGCCAGAGTTCAAGGCAACAATTTGATGTCGTCCATGCATGTAATAAGCACTAAGTCCCTGCAAGCAGATTCCTTCGCTCAGGGGAAGTGTGTGCCTGTGTCGCTGAAGCCTGGAGAATATCAACAGGTGAAGGGCTGTCAGAAAAACCAGGGTGCACAGCAGATTGTTTGTCTGGGCACTGGAGAGGTCAAGTCAGCCCAGGTGATCTTTGCATCGCAGAGCTGCATCCACAGTTGACCTGCTGCCACTGTCTTTTTCACTGTTTAAGCAAACATTTTGAGCACCTGCATGGTATGGGCAGTCTGGGGGACATGGTGTCCCAGTGTGTGCCCTCATAAAACTTGTCTAGCGATAAAAATGTGCTCTTAAGAAAGAGGGCAGCAGTAATTTTTCTAAAAAGTCTTTGAAATTCCCTTAAACTTAGAACAGTGTTATAAAAACTTAGACCAATTCAAAATAATGCGTTAAAGTATAATAATCTTAAATTGTGCCATTAAGCTAGATGGTAAGGCATAATTGAACTGTTAAAATCCAGCAAAAAAAAAAAAAGGAATAATAGGCATGATAGCACTGTAAAAGTATAATGAAGGTACCATTAGCAAATATAGACATAGAAAATGGTAAGATAATTTTTTGATCAATCCAGATAGTGATTTGAAGGAAAATAGGGTTCCATCAGAAACACTTTGAGATAATCATCAAAAAGGACAAGTATTGTTGTGCTCTTTTATTTTTAGGTATAGTGCTGCTATGGATTCAGCATGGCATTGCCTGAGTGGTCGGTCATGCTAGAGATCATTACATGTAAGACTATAAAGTAACAGGCTGCTTTCCCAAATGAAAACTGCCCTCTAATTTATGGTCACCTGCTTCAGCTGTTTTTCCACAGCACTGTGTGTAAGTTTACACCATCATGTAGGTAAGGATGAAGTGTGTCCCCTCTTAGTAAGGGAAGTCATAGACTCTTAGTTATTAAAGAAATCGCATTTAAACACAGGGGTCAGTGAAGTTTACTTTCTTTTACAAACTGGTTGTCCTGCTCACAGTTGTTTAAATTAGTTCCAACATTAATTTTAAATCTCCATTTCCTGCAAAGAGCTGACCTTGCATAAGTGGCCGTCTGGGTTACTGGTGTGCTTGGCACAAGAGCTCTCTTTTTCCTTCCTTCCAGGAAATCTGTGTAACCAAGGTAGGGTTTTCTGCAGCCAAATTAACAATTCATCTGGCATATCAATAGTGAATCAAATTCTTCATACACATTACAAGAGCATCTTAGTGTTGAAGAATTCTGAATTACACTGCATCCAGTTTCTTCCCTCACTTAAGCTGTACTACACATAATTTCTTTTCTCTCTAGTCCATGTTGCACATAGCTGCTGAAATAATTTTTCTAAATCACGTATTTGATCTTGTCATTCCTGGGAGGATTGACTCATCTGTGGATTTTCTGTTTCTCTTCATTTGACTTAATCTTTCTGAAGCTCAGTTTCTTTGTCTCTGTAATGAAGGAGTTGATGGTTAAGCCTTCTTTCCCTTCTAAACAGTTGAATGCCAAAGCTCCCCATCTCTGCAAGAAGGAAGTGCATGCCCAGGAGCATGGCCAAGTCACTCCTGCTACCCTTTCCTCCTACCTCTTCACTCATGCATTCTGCAGTCTAAAAGACATGGCCAACTGTTCCCAGAACCTCTCACGGGCTTTTCTACTGACATACTTTTATTCTTACTGTCCCTCCTGTCCTGTGCAGACTTACCTGTGGGAAGTTTTCCTGATCCCTCAGTGGAAAGTCTTGCCTGCCAGTTCATCCTGCTTATTAATAGAGCTATGTGTCTTTTACACTGGCACGTTCTAGCATGTATCACAGCTATGGGTGCATTATCCTAGACAACCTAGTACATTGTAGTTTCCTTTAATATAGGAACTTTATCCATCTTTGTTGTTTCTCTAACACCACTTCAGTTAGACTCATAATAGGTAAATAATGCTTAAGAGGGTTGATCACTGGAATTGCTGCTGAATGGAAATGAGTACTCAGCCCGAACTAGACTGAACTCTTGATTCTGTTTCATTAGATTGATATGGGAAGCTTTGAAGGACCTTTGTTTAACCTTTATTTGCCCAGGCACCAGGCACCCTAGGGAGAATGATGGGGCTGTCTGGGATAAGTAAACATGGGTGCATTAGCTAGGACTGAGATTAACACCCCTGCTGTTAAAAACTGAACTTCGAATTTAGCCTTTGTACTTTACTTTCGCCTCATAGCTAGGACTAACTTCCTCATTCCTACTTCTGTGTCTTGCTTTACTACTCCGAAGGCTATATAAACCCCAAGAATCCTTTGTTCGGGGCTCAGAATTTGGAGACTGACTCCTCTGGGCCTGTGCACGTTAATGAAACCTTATACTCCAGAAACCCTCGGTGTCTGGTTGCTTCATTTTCCTGCAACAAGATAATAAAACATCTCCATGTCCCTTTTTATTTTAAACTGGTAATACCTATAACATTTTTCTTCATAGGTTACTTGTATTTTCTGAGGCAAGTGGATGAAAGCATTTTATTCCACGTTAGTAGTTTAAAATAAGCAACTCTGATTGATTTAGTTTTAGCTCTTCTTTTGAGTGTCAGATAAGATTACGAAGACATTTTTAACTTAAAAGTGAGGACATCCATTCTTTGAAAATATTACACCAAGGGACGCATTTAACTTTTTTTAATTCACAAAGAATGTTTCATTTCTACTCTTCTTTCTATTTTTCCTTCAGTACATATTTGGTACTATAAATTCTTTATGTAAAGCAGTAAAAAAGGCTAAATACTTGGAGTTTTCTTCACATTCAACCTAAGTAAAATATATTTTATAGATACTAGCACCTATATGCTATAAAATATGA